AGGAGGAGATTCCCCATCTTTCCTCCATGAATTCTTTAGGTTAGCAGCACACCTGCCTATGAACTATGCCACGAGAGCGTAGCAATTGAAATGGTTTAGACCAGTACACTTCAGTTTTTCAACAGACATTCTAGCCCATTAGCACCTTAAAGAGGTCCTTGAAAACATAATGGCACAATGTAATATGTTGCTTAATTGTTTTACTGTTGTTTCCTTGAGTGTTGGTTATGGATCCAAATAAAATTAAATCCTTACCAAAGTAAAATTTTACTTTTTTTTTTATGTTATTAAGATGAAAGAATATAAAACCTAATATAGTTTAAAATTCCATAATTTATGATTTTTCAAAAACGAATCGATAGCAAATGCTGTGGATTTTAGAATTAAAAGAAACAGTAGAAATCTAGTCCAAAAGTTAAAAGCAAGTGATATAAAATCCTCAATATCCATATTTTAAATATCTTGTTGATTTCTACAGCAGTGTTACACTTTAGAATTCTGATGACTACCTGTATAAGCATACAGTCACCTCTTCACCACCATCCTACAACATTGTCTAGGATTTACTTCCTTCCCCTGGTAGTTTCACTTCTAACATCATAAAACAAAAATTCTCCACTAGACCAATAAGCAACGTCATAATAAATGGAGAAAAAATTTATGTTGTCAGTGATTTGCTTTTACTTGGATCCATATTCAGCACCCACGAAAGCAGCAGTCAAGAGATCAAAAGATTTATTCCATTGAGCAAATCTACTGTCAAGGATGTCTTTTAAAGTTTTAATTAATAAGGATGTTGGTTTAAAAACTTAAGTCCACCTGACCCAAACCTTGGTATTTTCAGTTACTTCATACATGTGAAATTTAGACAATAAGTAAATAGAGAAGACCAAAAAATTAATGGCTTTGAATTGTGGTGTTGGTGAAAATTGTTAATATGTCATGGACTCCCAGAAGAACAAATCTATCTGCTTTGGATGAAGTTTGGCCACAGTCCTCTTTGGAGGCAAGGATGGTGAGACTTTATCTCACATACTTTAGGCATGTTATCAGAACAGTCCAATTTTGGAAAAGGGCATCATACTTGTAAAAGAAATGATCAACAGAGAGGAGGACTTAACGAATGGGTTAACTCAGTGACTGCAAAATGAGCATAAGCACAGTGGAAATTGTGAAGATGGTAACAAGATAATGGCAAGATTTTGATCTGTTACACATAGGGTCACTGTGAGTCACAGTCAACCGACTGACACCTAAAGACAGTATTAATGCCTTGCCACTTTAGACATTTTACGTGCTCAGCTAGTTTATATAAACATCTGAATATATAATACCTACTGTCACCGTAAGAAACCTAGAATCTTGAGCTTTAAGTTACTTCAGGTTACACAACTTTTTAAATAGCAGTGCTGAACCTCTCCTATCAGGAGATGTATTGCACTGAGAAAATCCAGTCAGGGACTTCACCAAATTATTGAGGAGCACTGATGTCCGTTTGAGGACTGAGGTGCTCCTGATTCAGACCATGGTCTATTTAGTCACTTTCTCTGCATCTGGACCATGAATAAGGATGACAAAAGAAGAATTGATATGTTAGAGCTATGACATTGGAGAAGTGTCAGAATTAGCCCATGGACTGCCAAAAGAACAAGCATATGTGTTAGAGAAGGTATAGACAGTACTCCTTAGAGAAGACAAAGTTTCATCTCACATACTTTGGGCATGTTCCTAGGAGAGGCTATTCCTTGGAAAGAAACAGCATACTTGGGTAGGTGGAGAGTCAGCAAAAGTGAGAAAGAACAAGATGGACTGACTAGTGACTGCAACTGTGGTTTCAAGTATATCATAGGTGGTGAAGATGGCACAGATAGGACAGGGTTCAGATCTGTTGTTCATAGGGTCACTGTGGGTCATACATACTCAACCTTGCATGTAAGAACAGCAACAGCTAAGCCTTTGGTGTTCCAAATAATAAGCTTTCTAAACTTGGTTGTTTCCTATTAGAAATTGTATCTGTGTGGTCATCCCAAGTAAGTTAGTTGTTGATTGGTTCATATTCAAGCTATGCATTCATTGAAATGAATCTGTTCCTGCTTCACTCACTTTGAAGAAGTAAAGGGCTTATGTAGAGATATGTTGTTACTGGTATGGTAGTTACTTTTTACAGTAACTGTTGTGTACTGTTAAGTAGACCCTGATTTCTAGATACTCAGTATGACAGACTAGAACTACCCAATAGGGCTTCCCAGACTGTTAACAGATCTCCAGGTCTTTCCTTGAACAGAACTGTTAGTAGGTTTGATTCTTACCACTTACCTTTCTGTTTGCAGCCATACACTTGATTGCATTACTAGAACATCTTAACATGACTATGTTGTTGTTTGTCATCAAATCAGAACCAGCACATAGCTGATGCTCCCACAGGTTTTCAAAGGCAGTAAATTGCACGGGAGGAGATTGCCCATACTTCTCCCACAGCACCTAGTGGATTCAGACCACATGCCTTTAAAACAGCAACACAGCTTCCTACTGCTGACCATGAGTGCTCCCTGCCATAGAGTTATGAAAACCAAGAACCATTTTAAACTGGTTCTAGGGGATGCCAGGACTATTAGCCAGGTGGCACTGGGGGATGTTTTGATTTGATGTGATTTTGTTTCTTTAGGAATGTTCTTTTCAGGTGCTATCACATCTCCTCCAACTCTGTAATTCTCAGCATCTCATAGACGGTTGAAATATCCCTTGGTCTTATACCATTCTCATAGCCCTTGTTGTGTTTGAACTCATTGTTGCAGCTACTGTGTCAGTCCACATTGTTAAGGGTGATCTTCATGATAGATAGAGAAAAGATTGAAATTGTCAGTGATTTCATCTTGCTTAAATCCACAGTCAACACCCTTGGTACCAGCAGTCAGGAGATTGGGAGATATATAAAATTGGGAAAAATCTGTCATCAGGAATTTCCCCCAAAGTCCTGAAGAACAATAATGTCGGTTTAAATAGTGAGGTGTGCCTGAAAAGCCACAAACTTTCCATTCATCTGCTATGCATCTGAGAACTGGACAGTGAATAAGGATAACAGGAAAAGAATTAATGCATTTGAGTTTGGTGTTGGAGAAGAGTGCTGAATATCCCTTGGTTTGCTAGAAGGATGAAAAGATATGTCTTGGCGAATGTGCAACCAGAACGTTCTGTGGACATGTTAGCACAGGCTATTCCTTGGAAAAAGATAAAATGCCTGGGTAGATGGAGGATCAGCAAAGGAGAGAAAAACCCTCAATGAGATGAATTAATAAAGTGTCTTGGGCAGTGAACTCATATGTGTCTAGGCTGATAAGAATGGCACAAGATGTGACAGAATTCAGAAATAACTTGTTCATAAGGTCGCAATGAGTAATGCTTGATTCAAAGATACTACTTTATCAAGCATGATGCTCTTGTCCTTCTCTAGAGACTAGGTAACAGGTTCAAAGTATTGTGAGTTAAAGTCTCAGCATCTTCTTTTTTATTTTTTTAGCGTCTTCATTTTAAGGAGCATTTCGGCCACACTTCTTCCAAGACTGGCCCGTTCTTTTGTCAGCCTATGGTATAAGCAATAATCTTGGCCAAAATTATAGTTGAAAGATACTGGTCCTTATATATTGTCAAGATTTTATAGGCATATGAAGAAAGTGGAAATACCATGGCAAGAGTCAAGTGCATCATATTCCTCAAAATTAAATCTACAATTCCTTGAAGACGTCCTTTGCAGTAGAATTTTCTAATGCATTACATCATTTAATCTCTTAGCTGTTGCTTTGATTATGGATCCTAGTAAAGTTAACTCTTGGACAACTTCAGTGTTTTTTCTTTTTGTCATGATGATCCATTTCTAGTTTTTGTTTTCTTGATGTTGAAGTGCATTCAGTACTGAAGACTAAGCTCTGAACTTCATCAGTAAGTCCTTCAAGACCGCTTCACTTTCACCAAGCATGGTTGTGTTATCTGCATATCCCAGGTTATTACTGAGTCTTTCTCCAGACGTGACACAGCTTTGTATTTCGTATAGTCCTAACTTCTTAGATTTATTCATCATGCAGATAGAGTAAGTAGGATGAATGGACAAAGCTTTGACACACACCATCCTGCTTTTAAAGTACATATAACACACTAGTTCTGTTTTTCAGTGTACAAAGGTCTTCAAATTTAGGTTAGTTTTTTTTCTTACAACTTCCAGTTTTTTCTAGATTCATACTTACTATATTCTACCTTCCAGTTATTAATGAATGCTTACTACTATTTCTCCTCATTTTGCATCTTGCCACATTAGCTAATGAAGCTGGTCTTGACTGGATGTGTAACTTTGTGTCACTGTTAAGTGCCGTTTAGTAGGAACCACCTTATAGCTAACCATCCAGTAGATTTTCAGAAGCTGTAAATCACACCACAGGAAATGGCCTCTTTCTCCTGTGGAACACCTGGTGGATTCTGACTGCTTGGTTGTGGATTGATAGCGTCATGGTATCCACTAGGACATCAGAGCTCCCTTTTCATTAAGTAGTCTTGACTTAGAGAAGGCAGCTCATCATCAGTTACAGTGTGGGTACCTTCCCACTTAAGGGCACAGATCTTTTAGCACAAAACCAGGTGATGATCTACTTCTTTTCACTGTCCAGTTTTTGGTTGGGTTTTTTGTGGTTGGTTGTTTATTTGTTTTTGGGTTGTCTGTTTGTTTGTTTTTTCAAAAATAGATTGCCAGGACTTCTTAAGATGTCTTAGCCTAGAAGATCTTTTGAAACCTCTCCACTGTGGGTGATGCTCCTGAAATTTGAAATTCCTGTGGTGTAGCTTCCAGCATCATAACCCATAATGCAAGCCACCAACCACAGTAATGCCCACGTGACAGAACAGTCATGATTTTTTAAGAAATGGGAGCTTTTTCTTCATATGTCATCTATCCCTCCAGAAACTTGGGATCTCCTTTTTAATATCCTTTATATATGAAGTTCAATATTGATGAGGTATTAGGTTTTTTAGTTTTTATGTTGTGGGTTTGTTTGATTTCTGTTTTAACATGATGAACACCGTTTCATTGTAGAATAATATATTCTTTAGTGTTTCCTCCTAGATGAGTGCTTCAGAGCTTCCTAGACCATTTCCAGATTCTTCAGGGGCAGATAGGCCCCTTCCTTGTCTGTACCTCTTTCCAGCCCCAACTTCAGGAGTTTTCTTGGTATTCTGCTTCCTCTGCTAATACATTTACCATTCATCTATCCCAGAGGTGAACATACTTCTCTGCTAAACTGCAAGCTCAGGTTTCAGGTCAGATGGCCACTATTGTAATGATTTTACCCATTGTAGCAAGAATACAACAATAAACAATACATAAATGAATAAATATAGCCATAATAAAACTATGTAAAAAAAATAGGTAATTATCAGATTTGTTTTCAGATCTCTGTTCCTAATGGTCTTGACTGTTATCTCAATGACGACATGAGTTGTTTATTAGGTATATTCCCATGTCTTAATGGGCTCTTAGTGACCCCTGTAAGTTACCCTTGTAACTCAAGGTTACAAATTGTTCATAAAATGTTTACATTTGTTTGCTGTTAATATTCTTCGACTTGCTTCTGAGAAAGAGGATAGTGGAAGATATGCTTGTCCACTGACATCTTGTAACCAGTAATGATAGTCCTTTGGCTATTTGGTGTTTTTCTTTTTCTCTATATTCTCTCATTCTTCGTTTTGTTTTATCAGAGTAAATATTTGATTCTGAGTTAACTTATGATATGGTTAAAAGTAATATTTGTAATTCTGTAGTTTCTTTCTATCTGTTATAAAAAACCCTCCCAGTAGCCTTCTTTCATAGTTAATGTAATAGTCCTGATTTATTCTTCCTGTGTGCTGTTGAGTTATAACTGCCATCCACTAGATAATTTTGAATAGCCACCTAGCAAAGAGCTTGACATGCATAAATAAAATATAAAATTGTATACAACATGGCGTGAACTGCTTTTTCATTTATCATTTCTAGCAAGTTTTCAAAGACTGTCAATCACAGAGAGATTATCCCTCTTTGTCCTAAGGAGCACCTCGTGGATTAGAAACACCTGCTTTTGGGTTGATAGCATAACTCCTTACCCACCAGGTCACCAGAACTCCTAATTGGCACAGTATAATTACATTGCGATGATTCTGAATTCTGGTCACCCTATAGGACAGCATATAACTGCCTCGTTTTTCTCCCTATGCTAATGAATTTAAACCACCTTGGTTTTTAGCAGTCTTAACACTCCCATTGTGTCACTAGGACTCCTTAGCATAAAACAGTATAGTTAACATTTAAATAAATCTGCTTTCTTTAATGTATCGTCTCTGTATAAAAAGAATAGGTATACAGAGACATTACTTAAAATACATTGTATTTTTTAAATTATTATTTATTTAGTGTGTGTTTTTTTTTAACCCTCAACAGGTTTTAACAAGAAGTTTGCACCATGCGTGAATATAAGTTAGTCGTTCTTGGCTCAGGAGGTGTTGGAAAGTCTGCACTGGTAAGTCATTTTACTTAAGCTATTCATTTCAGAACATGTTCTTTTTCTAAATCAAGATTTAGATTTTTATTACTAAGCTTGATTTGTTTAGTAAGGTGAGTCTCAAGTTTTCATCTTTCACTAGTTTTTTACATAATTTCAGCAACCACATTTTCTGCATAAGGAATACTATAGAAAGAAAAAAGACACAGCTTGGAGGTAGGTTTTGGATAAGGGAAGACATTAGGGGAAATGAATGCTTGAAATGTTAGCATAGCTCAACAAGAAGAAATAGATAACTTTTTATTTCCCCCAAATGAGAAAACCTGTCACTAGATCCCTTTGTGTAGATACCTAGCAAAGAACTTGACATGCTTAGATAAAACTTAGAAGTGAAAATAATATGGCATGAGCTGTTTTCATTTGTAAATGTAACCAAAACTGTGAAAATGTGTGTATGTGCCCTTCTATTTATGTATACAACAGAGAGTTAAATTCTAATTAAAACTCAAAAGAAACTGAAATGGGGGAAGTCGCTAAGGTCATTTTTCCACCAAAGGCTTTTATACAATTGCATTATTATGTTTGCTCATCAGTGGTATGAAATCAGTAGTTCAAAATGTATAAATTTGGACTTGTTCTTACATGTTTTTAAATGATAATAATAACAGTCCATTCTTTTCTCCCTAGTCTTTCTTAAAGTGTTTCTTTTGCTTAATAAACTCTCCTCTGTAAGATTTCCTCTGTCGTAATGAACTTTCCTGTCTTTATTTTTTTTAAAATGTTAATGATAGGTAATTTTTTTTCCAGACCGTACAGTTTGTTCAAGGAATTTTTGTTGAAAAATATGATCCTACGATAGAAGATTCTTATAGAAAGGTACGTGTTATTTTTGCTTTTGACCTTAAAATATACATACTTATTTCTCGCTTTATAATAATTGAATTTTAGGGAGCTCTGGTGGCCTAGTGGCAAGAAGCTGTACTGCGTTCCCAAAGGCACTCAGTTCAAATTCATCAGATGCTCTGCTAGAGAAGGAGGGGAAATCTCCTGTATCAGGCAGATCCAATTTGACAGTACACACACAAAATAAAATTTAAAAAAAATAAGATAGAATACTGTGTGCAAAATAGGATGAAGCAGCAAGTTTAGTATAAAAAATTATTTGGTAGCAAAAGTTAACACTTGTATTACTAACACTGTTTATCATTATACAGTAAACATTTATGAGCGCACACATGGAAGAATACATTTATCCTGACCAAGAAACTGTAATCTGACCTATGAATAAACTCTTCCATTACAAGTGGAAACCTCTAAATCATTCCTTCTGAATTGTTTTGGGCTTCCTTCTTTTTAACCTAAAGATAGGAGTGCAGAGGTACTGCAAAAATATAAAAGTAAATTCTCATGGCTCCTAGCACAGCATGTGTAAAAAGAGCAAGGACCACATAGTGATAGCCATATCTGACCTTAACCAGTTTCACAAAGGGAAACTGTCCCTGTAAATAGAATAAACAGTACAAAACCAATTTCCATGAGGTCTAACATGTCTACCATGCTCCCAGCCTCACTCTACATATCTCAACACCAATCTTACTGCTTTACTTGGTCCAAAATCCAATGCAGTAGCTCACAGACCACACAGAACCGTATTGGGGATTTTCAAAGGCCGAAATTCAAGTTAGTAGCCAAATACAGTCAGTCAGGACAGCTTCTGAAATGTGCTCATAAGCAACTCAGCTTTGAGCCTCAGGTCTTTAGGCCAGTGTTACAAATTCTCAGCCCTGCCAATATTTGCTCTTCCTCTTCCACTCCTTAATCCCCCACGCCTCCAGTCCTCTCATCCCACCCTAGTTGTCCAACAAACTTGGGCAAAGGCTCTTAGCTTTCCTTTGGTTCTGTCTGTGAGGGATAGCAGACCCAAAGTAGCTCCATTTCATGTTTGTTCTGATTCAGACATGGCTGCTGCTGTCATAAGTAGAAGTGGAACAAGAATTTATGGGCCCAGTGGACTGGCTACATTTCTTCCTTCTTTGCTAGGAGGAACAATTTTATTCTGCTCTATCTGCTCAATTTAATGGCAAGACTAGCTAGTCTTCTTGTGGATAAGCTAACACAGCCTATTTACATATTCCCATCCATCCTCATGCTGAAGTCAAACAATGGATAGGAAAGCCACTCTGAATAAACCCTTAACTCCAAAACAGGAAATATTAAAACTTAACTCCAAAACTTAATGTACACACTTCTTAGTAAATTGTCTTCCTACCTTTAGGTGGCAGCGAGCCTGACTGCTGCTATTCTAAAAAAAATTGTTTCCATTTTTCTCTCCCATGTTCACAGTTAACCCAAAAAAACTGACCTTTCCCTACAGCTTCAGCTGTAAAAGTAACTTTCTCCCCCCTCCATAGAGGATATTTGATAAAAGGGTTATTATTTTTGTTTTGACTTTGAGTCTATCCCACCTGAATTTCAGAACCATCTCAGGAACAGGCTTGAGGCCTTCAACACTAATGAGCAAAGACCAGGCGAGTTGTGGGAGAGTATCAAGGGTATCATCCAGGAAAAGTGCAAAGTCATTGCAAAGACAGAAGAGGAAGAAATGACCAAAATGGATGTCAGAAGAAACTCTAAAGATTGCACTGGAACGCAGGAAGAATGCAAGATACTAACGAGTTGAATAGAAGATTTCAAAAGGCAGCATGGGATGACAAAGTAAAATATTACAATTTAACATGCAAGGAGTTGGAGTCAGAAAATCAAAAGGGATGAACTCACTCAGCATATCTTAAGTTCAAGGAACTGAAGAACAAATTCAAACCTCGAGTTGCCATAATCAAGGATGCTTTTGGCAGAATATTAAATGATCCAGGAAGTATTAAAAGAAGATGGAAAGAATATACTGAGTCACTGTATGGAAAGGGATTGGCAGACACAGAAGAATTTCATGAAACAACATATGAGTAAGAGCCTGTAGTGATAAAAGAAGTAGTTCAGGTTACTTTGAAGGAAATGACAAAAAATAAAGCCCCAGGAATAGATGGTATACCAATTGACATATTTCAACTAACAGATGCTGCCCTGGGCTTGCTCACCAAGTTGTGCCACGAAATCTGGAGAACAACCACTTGGCCAACAGACTAGAAGAGATCTATATTTGTTCCCATCCCAAAGAAAGGTGACCCAACAGAGTGTGGAAACTATAGAACAATCTCATGGATTTCACATGCAAGCAAGATTCTGCTGAAGATTATCCAAAAACGACTGGAACAGCACATCAGCAAAGAACTGCCAGAAATCCAGGCTGGCTTTAGAAGGGGTCGTGGTACTAGGGATATTGTAGCTGATGTTAGATGGATCTTAGCTGAAAGCAGGAAATACCAGAGGAATGTCTATCTGTGTTTCAGTGACTATGCAAAGACTTTTGACTGTGTGGATCATAACAAACTGTGGCTGACTCTGAGAAGAATGGGAATCCCAGAACACTTGATCATTATAATTCGAAACCTATACCTGGACCAGGAGGCAGTCGTCTGAACAGAGCAAGGGAACACTGCGTGGTTCAAAATTGGGAAGGGCGTACGCCAGGGATGTGTCCTGTATTCATACCTTTTCAACCTGTATGCAGAACAGATTATCCAGGAGGCTGGGCTCTGTGAGGAGAAATGTGGGGTCAAGATTGGTGGAAGATCTTTCAACAGTCTGCCTTATGCCGATGACACAACCCTGCTTGCCGAAACTGAGGAGGACCTGAAGTGCTTGCTGCAGAGGGTCAAGGACTACAGCCTTCAATATGGATTGAGGCTCAATGTCAAGAAGACAAAGATTCTCACCACTGGACCAATTGGCAGCATCAGGGTGGATGGTGAAGAGATTGAGATTGTTCACAGCTTTATTTTGCTTGGCTTCACAGTCAACACTCTTGGCACCAGTAACCAGGAAGTTAAAAGAAGCATTGCCATGGGAAAGTCTGCTGTTAGAAACCTCTCCAAAGTACTGAAGAGCAATGGTGTCTCTCTGGAGACTAAGGTGTGCCTGATACAGGCCATGGTCTTTGCAATCACTTGTTATGCATCAGAGAGTTGGACAATGACTAGGGAGGATAGAAGGAGAATTGATGCCTTTGAGCTGTGGTGCTGGAGAAGAGTATTGAGATGGACTGCTAGGAAAACAAACAGATTCATCCTGGAAAAGGTTAAAGTGGGTGGCTCCTTGGAGGCAAGGATTCTGAGGCTCCGTCTAGCATACTTTGGACATGTTGTAAGGAGGGACCGGTCCTTGCAGAAGGACATCGTGCTTGGGAAGATGGAGGGACAGCGCAGGAGGGCAAGGCCCTCTGTGAGGTGAATTGATTCAGTGACAGGTAATTGGGTCAGGAGTGTCAGAGACAGTGTGATTGGCACACAGAGCAGGGTTTAGGGCTGTTGTACATAGGGTCGCTATAAGTTGCAAGCGACTCGACGGCACATAACAACAACTACAAGTGCAGTAGAGTCAACCGTGATTTAAAGTGACCCTATGGACGATGGATCTGCATCCAGGTAACAAGGACTTAAAAGTTTATTTGGTAGTTGTGGCACTACTTGGTACCAGTAATCTTAGGGCTAAATGGAGGTATATCTCTCAAATATTGAGGGGGTTGAGATAGAAACACTTTTAATGTTTGCAGTGTTTTTTAACTATTTTGGAACTATATCTTCAGAATTAGGTGCTAAGTGATTCATAATGAGACACTCTACCTTTTGGGAGTCCTTGTATTAAGAACACATGATATTTATACCTAATACAATTTAGGGGTCTGTAAACTTTGATTACTGGCTTTTGTCTTTTTTTTTAAAGTGTTGCTTGAGATTTTCTTATAAGTTAACTATAATTTGTGTCTGTCTTTAAAATTATACTAGCTTTTATGTATATTAGGATAGTCATGTATCCATAAAAACTAAGGATGTTTCACTTTTCCCTCAGCAAGTTGAAGTAGATGCACAACAATGTATGCTTGAAATCTTGGATACTGCAGGAACGGTATGTAAAATAAAATACCAAAATATATGTACAATTTGTACAATACTGATTTTATAAATTCTAGCATTACAACTTTTCTAACGTACTTTCTACAGTAGATCAGTTGTTAAAGAATTTTAATTAGAAAGTTTGCTTAATATTTTCATAAATTCATTCATCTTAAAACATACTAGAATATATTACTGTCTCTCAAATAATAAGGAACCTATTTGGTCATACATTCATTCTTCAAGTTCACTACAATCCTGTGTATAACACAGCCATATCTCTCATCTCTCTGAGTATATACATCAAGACCAATTAGATGTATAGCCAACTGGAGTTGAATGGAATGAATCCATTTATTATGGATATATTGTGTTCATCCACTTAATGTTTGAGTGCCTAATATGTGCAAGGCATTGTATTCATACTGTCAAAGATTCAAAGTGTAGTGAAGAAGAAACGTGGTAGGAAATGACAAGATAGGAATAAGCATGCTGATGAACCCCATAGAGCTAGAACATTGTGAAATAATGGAGTAACTTAAGGATACGATTTGCTTGCCTCAAGTGTTAAGATATTGTCATTTTTACCATATACAAGAGCTCCTTTTAACTTTCAGAGATGAAGTATTTCTAATCAACTTGTCCTACCAATTGTACATAAATCTACTTTGATCTATTTTTAAATTAAAAAACCCAAGTTTTAAAAATTCTTTTTTTGCCAGGGATTATAACTTTAGGACATATTCCCTAATATTTTTAATTGAGCTATAGTTACAAGCTCTACTTCAAAAATTGTCAAATTAACTGTCTAAACTTGTTTGAGTTTAATAAATTTTTTTGCTCCCATTGTAGGAACAATTTACAGCAATGAGGGATTTGTACATGAAAAATGGGCAAGGATTTGCATTAGTTTATTCCATCACGGCACAGTCCACTTTTAATGATTTGCAAGACTTGAGAGAACAGATTCTTCGAGTTAAGGACACTGATGATGTAAGCTGACTGCCTAATACTTTATTTTTAAACTTGGTGTAATGGCATACAATTCAACTTTCACATTTATGTGTTTTTTATTTTCAAAGCTTTTTTTCCTTAAAAGTCAGTTTTAAGTTGCTACATTCGGTGTAGACTGTAGAGTCAAGTAAAAATCTGCTTTCTGTCTCTGCTAAGTAGTATAATTTCTGTCCATTTTTTACATGAAACAAGTACTTAGGAACTGTCACAGATGATAGGATTGCAAAAATATTGTAGTCATGGTTCTTTTCTTTAAGGAACATAAAGTCAGGGTGTCAAAATTAGCAGAACAAGTATTTGTTAACAATAAAAGATACCCATTTAGACTGGCATAAATAGACACCTTCATCTATGAAATTGGTAGGTCATTGATTTGAGCCCTGAAAATAAAATATGTTGATGTTACCAAAGTATAAAAATAAGAGGGGAGAATATTAAGGAGTACATTCTGATGACCCAATATTCGAAGTTGAAAATGTACAGAAATTGTGAAGATCAGTCTACCAAATGGCTTATTAGAACATAGAAAAGTCTAGTCTTTGTCCATTGTCTGATTTTGTAAGTACTGTTTAAGTGATTTGGTTTAATTTTTTTTTAATTGAGTTAATGGTGACTTCTACTAGACCATAAGAGGAAGTATTAAATGTTTTTTATTGATAGTTGATTATTTACATGGTCAAGGACCACACTCCCCACCTGCTAAAGAGAATAATTATATTAAAAACATTTTAGAAGTAAATATCAATCATTGTAAGAATACCAGAGGAAAATCCCTGCAAAGTGTCACCTCCATGTTTAATTAAATAAGTATTGGAGGGCAGAGTTGCAGAAGTGTAACATGACAACATAAAATTGCTAAATTTTTGTTTATTCATCATAAACCTCTCTTAAAAAAATCTTGTTTTTCTGCTTTGTCAAAGTGGTTAAGAGCACTTTTTTCTAGAATATTACTTTTTCTTTTAAAATTACATAGTATGTATCTAGACATATAATATCATTAATAAGTGAGGGTGTTCTATGTTTACTTCACTTTATGGCTTTTGAGTATAAACTATAGGTGTCTGCTAAATTTCATTTTGTGAAATTGAAAATATATGATAATGTGTGTCAGGAAACTGGAAGTTGATAAACAATCTTAAACTTTTTAAATGTAAAATGGCTTTCAAAGTAACACCTCTTATACTTACTTTTAAAGGGTAGCATGTTTTTACTTACTACAATTTATTATAAGTCCATTTTGATGTGATTTTTAAGTTTTCCCTTCCTCTTTTGTACGTAGGCTGTAAGTGTCTAAAAATTTCATGTGGAAAGTACTTGTATCTACATAGACTCATAGAATATCTATATTATGTCCAATTTATTTAATATATACAATAAATTTCTAATTTTCTTTGAGTTATCATTTGATATCTCCATGAGTTTATAGACAGTGGAAACAATGGATCATGTTGTTAAAAATCGGTATTTATTATTTTATATGTTTAAGACTTTCAACCCACCGTTGCTGTTTTCATATTTAACTAAACTTTATCATGTGCTTTTAACATTATTTTTTTTTCTTTTGTCCTTTGGCATAATATGAAAAGTAATCTTTAGAACTCTTTAAAATTTTTTTCATTTGAATTTGGAGGATATTTTAATTATTTACTTTTTTTTTTTTTTTGGTACTCTATCAAAATTGTATTTTTAGGTTCCAATGATTCTGGTTGGTAATAAGTGTGACTTAGAAGATGAAAGAGTTGTAGGAAAGGAGCAAGGTCAAAATCTAGCACGACAGTGGAACAACTGTGCATTCTTAGAATCTTCTGCAAAGTCAAAAATAAATGTTAATGAGGTATGACCATATGTTCTACTTAAAACAACTCTTGTTTTGAATTGAGAATTCGCAGTTAATGGGAAATAATGTCTATGTATTAAATCCATCCAAAATTTATGTTTGAAGTGATAAGTTGATCTCATGGGGGGGAAAACCCAAACAAACTACATTAAATACATGCGGTTTCAGAAACTACATCAGTCTGTACTTGATGCAGTGGGGTTTACCATGAAGTGAAGACAGCCCTGTAAGGGTATGAGAAACATTAAGTCTCTAACTACATCAAGAATATTACCTGAAAGATGGAGACTGAAACTAAAAAGCCCTGCATCACATAACTGTTGACTCCAATGGACTGGAAGTCATATTGTATAGTAAGATTTGAAGATGATTGTTGTCTTTTTTTGTATAATGGGTAAATGGTCTAAACTAAAATCTCTGGAATTCCTTCAACTGAGTGCTTATTATAAAGGAAGAAAATTTTGACTCTGAGAATACAAACAGAAAGATGCCCCACAATTCTAAGAGTTCCTGGTTTTGTTGTCATTCATTAACTGAACAGAATATTTGCTTTCTGGGTTAATTTATACTTATATTGTTTATACCTATAGAATTCCTAGTTTTTTTCCTTCTTTATGATGGGAGATTTTCAGTAGTGATGATTTACTTTGGGGGCTTTGGGGAGCATTTTTTTTATTTGGGTTTGGGGAGGGAATTTTGCCTCCTATAAATGAAAATAATAAATATATTTGCAGATCTTTTATGACCTAGTGCGGCAAATTAACCGAAAAACTCCTGTGCCTGGGAAGGCTCGCAAAAAGTCATCATGTCAGCTGCTTTAATATACTGAATGCATTGTAGCTCTGAGCCAGGTATGTTAATTTGTATTTCCTCTACCCTTTTAACCATTCCTCTTTTTTTAAGAGCATATTGTCAAGAAAACAACTAGAATTGTTTTTTGTTGACTGAAAATTAAATGATTGCCTCCTTTTTAAGCTGTCCATGATTTAGTGTGCAATCCCATTAAAATTATTATTTATCTGGCATCTCTAATAACTAACAAGATATTACACCTAAGTGAATATTGTAAATAACTTATTAAGCATTAAATGCTTATTCTTAACTGATTGGTGCCAGCAATATCAGAACAAAACTAACTTCTTCTTACCTTTGGAGCTAATTAAAGTCTAATAAAAGAGATGGGCAATAGTTAGAATAGATGGTAAATGCTATATGGGATCTATCCAGGGTGTATTACTCATTTTAAGACATTTTTTAACTCTTAGGACATTTATCACATTGTAAGCATTCTTTAAATCCCTGGGTGATGACAAACAGTTAAATAGTACCAAACTGAACCCACTATTTTAGAAAATAGACTTGGCAGTCTACTTCCAGAGGATCGCACAACTTTTTTAAACTATAGAACATTTCCACACTACACACTTGGATTGAATCAATAACTAAGAACAGCAAGCACTCTTAAGTATTCTCTATATTCACTGAATTCTCACAACAGCTCAGTGAGACAGGAGTTGTTGTTGTTACAGTACAGATGAAGTAATTAAAAAATAAAAATATTAAATTGCTTATTCAAGGCCATACAATTAATAAATAACAAAGCTAGAATTTAAGTTTATAAGAGCTGGCTCGCAATTCTGTGCTGTGAACCATTGTACTATTGTAGGTATTCTAGGAATGTATAGTTGGAAAACCAAACATGTCAGACATGGGTTAAGGGCTGAGGGAAGGTCTGTTAAAATAAGAAGTGTCTAAGATCTAAAGGACAAATAAAATAGTCCCAAAAGGGTTTCTGGATTGGAAGTACCACTGATAAAAAAACCCAGAAGTGAAGCAGCAAAAGAAAACTGAGCATACACCATTTTTATATAGATTGTGAAAATCATTACATTAAAGGAGTTAAATGCTGGTAAAGCATTTGAATCAGTCTGTAGTACACAGCATTCAACTGTTCACTCCTGCTGTTATGCCAAAGCAATAATTTCTTGCTCAGTTATCATTAAGCCATTGTTTACAATACTGTTTCTTTGAGAACTTTTCCTTGCTTCCTCCTTTGTTAAATGACCCTTATTACCATAGCACTCTGATTCTTTATCTTCTTAAATTTTCTGTTCCAGCCTTCCATTTAGTACTTCATCCTCTTCTTATTGCCTGTGTCTTCTTTCCTATCTTCTTACCAATTCTTAACAGCACACATGTACTTGAACTCACTTATCTGTCCTTACAAATTTGTCACATCCAGTCTGCTAGGATTTATTTAGAAAATTAGATTACCAAACTTGTTGAGATTTCAGCCTCTAAATTATGGTTCAGCACATATTCCAACTATTTTAACAGCTACATCTATACTAATAGGAGCCTACATTATACCTGAACTCCAAAAATAAAAACTTTTATTACATATTTATTTAGTGTAATACCAGCTTTTTCTGACATCCATCTTAAGGTGATGGAATCTGTTGAAATAGCCATACTAGAAAAAAAATATTTTCTAGTTCAGAAGTAACTTCATAGCCAGTCTTTTCATATACTCCTGTAAGGAAGAAAAGTCTTAATTTTCTGATATTAGAAACCCTTGTTTAAATGTACATTAACAATTTATACTGAAGGGGAGCTCTTGTGGCCTAGTGGCAAGAAGCTGCACTGCAATCCTGAAGGCACATGGTTCAAACCAGACGCTCCTCTGGAGAAGGAGGGGCAGTCTCCTTTGTGGCAGTCAAATCTGACTCAGCAGTACATGACAACAACGAAAATTTATTCTGAAATTGTAAATAAATACTCTTGATTTATCCAGTTTGTTAGCTTGAAAATTTGTCTTTCAATCCTATTCTAGTAAGGTTCACTGAATTTTAATAGGGTTGTGGTTTGGGGTTTTGTGTTTGTTGTTTTTCATCTTTACAAAGTAATAATAGAAATGTACACAGAGGTATTTCTTTTGTATTTAAATTTTCATTTGATTATAAAGCAAAACAGAATCTCATGGTGGCACTGGAAAAGACTATCTTTTTGGAATGAAAAGATAAATATGGCACATAGTTATTAATGTCATGATCGGTACAGAAGTACTCGGTATTGTATTCTTTCTGACACTTTAAAACGTTTACCTTCATGTGCTCCTTTGAGTCCTTAATACCCTGTTTTCAGTTCATTTTTTTTTCCTTTTAACAGGTCTGAAGAACTGTTGCCCAATTCAACAGTGCCAGCATTCCAACTTTGTTAAACCTACAACATCTTAAATGGACTTTCCTGTGGTGGTACCC